TTTTATTTATTTTATTTATTTAATATTAATTTTTATTTTATAATTTAATTAGTTCAATTTATATTAATTATTATTTTTATATTTAATTATTTTATTATTATTGGGGTTTTGTTGTTAATGGTTGGTGTTAAATTTTTTTTATCTGTTTATTTAAATTTGGGATTTTTTCCTTCCATTTTATTATTAATTGTTTTCCTTAATAATTTATTTTTTTAATTTCATTTTTTATTATTATTATGTTAAAAGTTTTTTTTTGAGAGGTTTTCAAGGGAAAAAAAGAATTTATTATATTCCATTTTTTTTTTTAAATTCTATTTACCAAATTTAAATTTTTTGTTTATCTTATATTTAAAATTTTTTTATTGGGGGAAAACTTTTATAAATTTTGAGGCGAAGCCCCCTTTATATCCTTTTTTTAAAAAATTTAAAAATTAAAATTTTAACTTATTAAAATAAAATAATTAGGGGATATTTTTTATGTTTTATTATTTTAATATTTATATTTATTGGAAAAAATCTAAATAAAAATGGGTTTTTTTAACTTTTTCCTTTCCCCGGAATTTTTTTGAGTGGCCCCTTTTAAAAAAAGGGGGGGGGGTTTGGGGTTTGTGGAGGGTAAGTTTTTTTTAGAAACCTTTTTTTTTGGGGGAAGGGGCCAAAAATTTTTGGAAACCCCGGGGCCGTTGGTTTTTGGGGCCAAGGCCCTTACCTGGGTTTTTTCGGGGGGGAAATTTGGGGGCCGGGGTTTCCCTTTTTGGGGTTCCTTTTGGCCCCCCAAAAAATTTCCAAGAAAGGGCTTTTTTTTCCCCCCCCCGGGGGCAAAAAAAAACCCCGGGGTTTTTCCCGGGGAAAATTTTTCCCCCGCCAAAAGGGGGTTTTTTTTGGCGGGGGCCTTTTTATTTTCCCCCTTTTTCCCCCCCGGGTTTTCCCACCCCGGGCCCAAATTTTTTTTTAAAATTTTTCCCCGGGTTTTTTTTTTTTTCCCGGAAAATCCCAAACCTTTTTTTTTTTTTTTTTTTGGGGAAATTTTTTTCTTTTTGGGAAAGGGGAAAATTTTTTTTTCCTTTCCTTTTTTTTTTTCCCCCTTTTTTTTTCCCCCTTTTTTTTTTTTTTTCGGGGGTTTTCCCATTTAAAATTTTTTTTTTTTTTTTTTTTTTTTTTTTTTTTTTTTTTCTTAAAAACCAAAATTTTTTTTATTTTTTAATTTTTAAAAAAAGGGAAAAAATTTAAAAAAAAATTCTAAAAAAAAAAAAAATAAAACCCTTTTAAAAAAACAAAACCCCAAATTTTTTTTTTAAAAAAACCCCCCCAAAAAAAAAAAAAAAAAAAAATTTTTTTAACCCCCTTTAAAAAAATTTAAAATTTTTTTAATTATTTTTAATTAAAAAACCCAAAAATTTTTTTTTTTTATAAAAATATTTTAAAAATTTTTTAAAATTTTTTTTTTTTTTTTTTTTTTTTTTTTTTTTAAAATTTTTTTTTAAAAAATTTAAAATTTTTTTTTTTAAAAAAATTTAAAATTTTTAAAAAACCAATAAAAAAAAAAACTTTTTTTTTTTTTCCCAATTTTTTTTCCCCCTTTACAAAAACCCGGGATTTTTTAAATTTTTTTGTTTTCCCCTTTTTTTTTTTCCCCAAAAAAATTTTTTATTTTAAATTTAAATTTTTTTTTTTAAAAATTTTTATATTTAAAAATTTTTTTTTAAAAAAAAAAATTTTAATTTTAAAAAAATTTTTTTTTTATTTTTTTATTGGGGAAAATTCCAAAATTCCTAAAAAAAAAAAATTTTTTCAGAAAAATTTTTTTTTTTTTAAAAAAATTTTAATTTTTTTTTTTTTTTGGGGGGTTTTTTTTTTTAAAAAAAAAAATTTTTAAAAGGGGCCTTTTTTTTTGGGTTTTTTTAAATTTTTTAAAATTTTGGGGCTTTTTTTAAAATTTTTAAGGGGGGTTAATTTTTAAAAAAGGGGGAAGTTTTTGGGGAAAAAAAAACGGGTTTTTTTAAATTTTGGGTTTTTTTTTTTTTTTTTTTTTTTTTTTTTTTTTCCCGCCCTTTTTTTTTGGGGTTTTTGGGGGGTTTAAAAGGGGTGGGGAAAAAAGGGTTAAAAAAATTTTTTTTTTCGGAAATTTTTTTTTTTTTTTTTGGGGAATTGGTGTTTGCTTTTTTTTTCCGAAAGTTTTTTGGGGGAAAATTTTTTTGGGATTTTCTTTAACCCCAAAGGGTTTTTTTCCCTTGTTTTTTTGGGGAAAAAATGGGTTTTTTTTTTTGGGAATTTTTTTTTAAATTTTTTTCCCCAAAAAAAAAAATTGGTTTTTAAAAAGGGTTTTTTAAATTTTTGGGGTTTTTTCCCCCTTTTTTTTTTTTTTTTTTTCCCCCCCAAAAAAAAAAAAAACCTCCTTTTTCCCCCTTTTTCCCCAAATTTCCCCAAAAATTTTTTGGGAATTTTCTTAATTACTAACCTTTTTTTTTAAACTTCCTTCCTTTTTTTTTATTTTTACAAA